CAGATACTTTGTGTAAATGTGGTACTGACGTCTGATTCCTCTCCGTTCCTGGTCCTATATTTAGCCTAGGGAATTTGCTTATTTTTTATGTTTTGTGGTCGGTTTTTTTTCCTTTTGCTGGAGCCAGTGGAAACTGCTGTGACATTCTTTGCCCACTACCCCCCAGCTTTTTATCTGCATATATGGCTCACAGTTGTGAACATACTAGATAGGCTTGTGCCTTCATGGAGGCTTGGAAAGCTGTGCAAGGAACCTTTCTTGTTGAGTGATGCAAATGGGCTCCCTGATGGAGGATTGCTCAGGCTGTCTGCTAAAACCTTTTACATCACTGTGAGAGCTAATTCTGTCCTTCCCTTGTGTTACTTGAATGTCCCACAAGAAGGAGGTGGACTGGGAGACATTCCACAGCCAAGTTGCTTATAAAAGCTGCTTGCATCTGGAAGGTGTACTTAGAGGTTGTGGTGTGGCATCTAGAAATAATACCTTTGAATATGTGTGCCGTTGCCAACGGCCTCTTCAGGAACCAGCAGGTAAGCAAACAGGACACTTAATCTTGGCTGGCTGATAGGTGGTTTGTACAGAAGTAATCCATAGAGCAGTGAGTAGTTTCTATGAATGTCTTGGAAATCAGAATATACTTGTGGATTAAAAAGGTGCAGTGGTTATCAAGCCCTGCCCACAGCTGCAGAGGAGGTAGGGCTTGTGCTGAGACAAGGGTGCTAACAATTTCGATGTTCTCAACAGCTAGTGTGCTCCAGGCTCGGTAGGGTCCATGTGAGGTGTTTCTGGAGCTAGTCTTAATTTGCATGTTGGCACTAGCATTTAAAACTGTAATTTCAGGCAAAGATGTCTTGAGAACTTGCATTTGTTTTGAAAGCTTCAGTTCCAGAAAGGGGTGGAGAGGATGGAAGTGCTGATGTGTCTGTTGTAGAAGTGCAGGTTTGGTGTACTTTGCTTGGTCTACATTCACAATTGGAAGCTGGGAATGAAAAGATCAGTGTTCTCTTCCCTTGCGTCCTTTCCTCTCCCTCTGGCTGTTAAATACTGACTGCAGTCTCATAAAGGAGCAGACAAAGATGGAGGATAGATAGATGGGTGTATGCTCTTGTATGCAATTAATTTTCCATGGTAATTATTTTTATTATTTTAACTGCTGTAAGTTAAAGCCGGCATAAACTGAAAGGAATAGCTATTTTGCATCTCCTGAGGGCCTGGTGTTCCTACTGGACTTGAAGGCAGCGTGGAGTAGTAGGTGGCACAGAGACCTAACCATTCAATGTATCCATTCCATTTATTTTAGTAGACTGATTTCCTTGGCTGAAACACCCAGAATACTAATAGGCTCTGAGCTACCTTGTTTGGGAAACTGCTCAGGTTCAGTGGGAGAGTAACTTGTTGGCTGTGTGGGGAGGAGGAGCTGCTCTGGGGACATACTGAGCTGAGCTGTGAGCATCTAAGTAGGCAATTGAGGCCGCCCTGTGTTAATGAATTGCTTAGGTTGTACATAAACTTGAGGACATTGAGTCCAACCATTAACCTAATACTACAAAGTCCACCACTAAACCATGTCCATAAGTTCCACATCTACATGTCTTTTAAATATTTCTGGGGATGGTGACTCAACTACTTCCCTGGGCAGCCTGTTCCAATTCTTGACAACACTTTCTGCGAAAAACTTTTTCCTCATATCTGGTCTAATCTCCCTGATGAGGCTTGAGCCTGTTTCCTGAACAATCAGAAGTTAATAAAGAACTAGAAACAGTTAGTTTCTGCTTGTTGAGGAAATGTGCTTTCTAGGAGGGAATGGACTAGAATCCTTTTCAAACATTTTGAGAGGGAGCCAGTTTTCTCTGACTCCTGACTCCCAGAACATTATCTATGCCCCACTGTATCACTGATTTGTGGTCTTCCATCTTGCTGAATAAGGTGTCCTTGGAGTTAGCTCAAGTCTTCATTGCCCTGGTGTATACCAGACAGGAGCAGGAAGGTGGAAAATCAGCATGGGACAGCATTGCGGTAGGGTAGCTTTTGTTGGGTAGCAGTTAACTTAAGAAAGCAAGTTCAGAAGAGTAGTGAATTCTGGCTAAATTACTTTACTGGCAAGAAGGTTATAAACAATTAGTAAGTTATGTTAGTTATTTACTGACAAATCAATGTAAATTGTTTCACTGAACCTATGAGTTAAAATTTCTATTTCATTGCATAAATCAATGCTTGTTGGCAAGTAAGGAGATACTGTGATTTATTCCTCCTCCACTCCTCCAGATAGTGTTTGTCAATTATGGGTCAAACCCAGTGAATCAGGTATAGGGTTGTCTTAATACAAAGTTAAAATACCCACGTTTGTGATGGCTGCTCTGGCACAAGGAGCCATGCGCCTCTTGGAGTGGTTTGGTGTGTGAGCTGGGTGGCCATTACCTTCACTAAGGGCTCTGGACTTGGCCAAGGGATGGATAGGGGGGAGGAAACCTGCTGGCAGACAGCCTGCTCTGGGGTGCAACTGAGCTAAAATTTATGGTTTTAAGTGGCCAAAGGTTCTGTCCTGTGAGTTAATAATGACAAAGCCCTAGAGCTTTGTGGTTCACTATACTATTCTAGGAAGTGCTTTGTTTGCTTGCCTGGTTTGAAAACAATGGTTTCGTATTTTGCATCTCTCCTGTGTTTTTAAAACTCTGTTCACTTCTCTGAAGTCCTGTTTTCCTGCAGAGTTCCTCATAATAAAACAGAAACTTAAATTTAAGAGCTGCATAGGAAAGTCTTTGCCAAGATTTTTTTGTGTATTCCCTTTATTCTTTCTGGTTTTTTTGAAGCTTATTTTGAGAACAATTCATTCCTGTTATAACTCAACAGAATTTCGGTCCGTTAGCCCTATCCATCTCCACATAATGGGGTTTTGCTTTTCTTTTCTGATTAGCTGGAAGCTTGGGATTAGATAGATTTTCATATCTGCTAACTTCCTATTTCATATCTTGTGATTTGCAAGGCTTAACCTTCCCTGACTTGTTAATGGATCACAAACCACCTGCTTCATTACACTAATCCTTTAGAAATATATAGCATAGCTTTGACTTGAAACTCTCCAGTTTGGTTCCCATGGGTAAAAGGTGCAAAAGGATCAATCCTAGTCTGAACAAACTGCTTATTTAACACTTTCCCTGCTCTTCCACAATATTACATCTCAACCATGGCTTTTTTAACTATCAAGAAAGTTTGGTGCTTTCATTGCCTTGGCCTGCAGGGTAAGGCAGGAGAGGAGAAGAGTAGGTGGAATGGAGCAGGAGAGGAGTAGTCTAAAGGGGGAGGAAGGCATATCTTGTGAATGGTTGGTGCTTTGGATGTTGAAGATTGGATCCCTTGTGATGGTGTCTGCTTCAAGCCAGCAATGTTAACAAAGTGTGACAACTTCAGCCAAGGACTCTGAGCTCAAGGTATTGGTGTGTCAGTCCTCCTTTCTGCTCTCCTTTCTATTTCACAATTTACACTGCTTCTGGCAGTGTAGCCTGGTCAGACCAAAGGAAAATTCAGCTACCTGGGCTAGGCGAAGAGATGCCAAAGACATTGCAGGTCTCTGTCAACCTTGAGCTATGCCTGCAGCTGGGGATGTGGCTCTTGTCCTGGGCAGCGTGGTGCCAGGGTGTGCTTTGTCCTGTGCATGAGTGTGCACTGCCTGTCTTGAAATATTGGTGAGGTCTGTATATGAGATTCTGCCATTGATTTATGTGATGCCTCAGCCTTTGTCTTTCTGTTTGGCTGCTTCAGGCCAACACTTCTACTTCTCTGTCCTGCATGTTTCTCCCTGTGACTGATGTCTGTAGCTTGACATGCGTTGCAGACAAGCCCCAGTCTGAGGGTGATAGCAGTGAAGTCCTACAAAGCAAAGGCTGCTGGCAGTGTAGCAGGGATATCCTGTAGGGCTCCCCTGGCACCACACTGAAGGAGTAGCTGGGGCTCTCCAAACTCTGCAGCGTATACTAGCAGAGGGACAGGCAAAAATCACAGTTTCTGTTTTAGAGGTGAGAAATAGGGCACAAGGTCATCAGAGCAACTGTTGGTTTACCTCATTTTATTCACTTAACCGTGTTTCCTGTTACTGGTTGTTACTGTTCTCTGCTGCAAGACAAAATACTGTTACATGAAGATTTAAAAGTGGTGTGTAGGGTGTTTGTGAAGAGGGAGGAAGGCTTCAGAACTTGTGACTGCTATAGGCTGGTTGCGGTGGGCTGAGGCACTAAGGCCATGTGCTATGTGCAAGACTAGTAGACATGGGGCCTCTCCTTCCCTCCCCTCCCCTCCTGGTCAGCAACTATTTTGCTCCCAATGGGGGTGATTATATTGCTTACCAGGAGTTTACTGCTGCTTGCTTTTGCAGTTCATCTTGCTGAGAGATTTCTGTGAGGCTCCTGAGCAAGTTGTTTATGCAGATATGTCCCTTGGGTCAGTAGGGTTTTGGCATCATATCTCTCTTGCTTCTCAATTGGCCAGTCACTTCTTGTGCTATACTCGACAGTTTCTGTCTTGTCTGGTAATAAGGTCAGGCACAGAAACTTAGCCCATTTACTTCCCCTTCTTTATTCCCCAAGAGCTTACCTGTAAGATCCCTTCTTTCCTTCTTCCTTACCTTCATACTCTGTCCTAGATATGCTGTTATGGTGCCCAGTACATTGGGTCACTCTTATGGTGTGGGGCAAAATACATTAGGGCTGTTACACAAACTTCCATGGTTTCCATCAGAAACTCAGGGCTCCCAGATGGTAGAAAGGTAATTTATTTATGGTTACTAGCACATGGTATCACTCACCATGGGAGAGACTTGTGATTCCTCTCCAGACTGTTCTTTTGCTTTGTGTTTTCTAGTTAACCCCAGCTCAGTCTGTGAGAGTAGAGAATGAAACAGCTTTTGGTGGCTTTTGCTGCTGCTTTTCCAGCAAGGATAGCTCTTTGGTTATCTTTATGCATGTGGTCACATCATCTTTTTTTGTTTTTCTGTTTCCTGCATCTAGGTGTGTTGTTGTGCTCTTCAACCCTAGAAAAAATAAACAGCACCATATTCTAAACAGTTCCAGGTGAGTGAAGCTTTAAGCTGGGCTTGATTTCTGTGGGAGGTGAATTCAAGGTTTTTATGGCTTGAGTGAAGTGCAGGAACTGCTGTTGCTCCAGGCTGAATACCCTTGGTAAATGTTGCCTTGGGGACAGGCTGCCTGCTGGTTTGCCTCCAGCTCCTTCTAATGTGAGGTGCTGTTGCTGACAAGGTACCACCTCATAAATATCGTGATCCTATGAGGAACTGCTAAGAGGCATGATGTGGAGGAGATCTTAACAGAACTCCATGGTAGCTGACTTTCTTTCCCTCCACCTAAAATGATGACCTCATTATTGAAGCCTGCACTGGGACGTGGCCCTGCATCTGGAATAAAGGCACAACGATGAACCTCAACTTTTGGAGCTTTTCCAGTGCCGCAGGCTGCTGCCTGAGACTTGGGCAGCAGGGAATCTCCATGGCAAAGCAAAACCACTGTGTCAAGCAATTATGGGTGATTTTAACATCTTTGCAATTCATCCCAACCTACTCCCCAGTCATGATGTATTGAAATGAAATCACATGTTGGAAATGTTTCTCAGTGTCATTTTCTCTGTTTTAGGAAAACAATTACAGCACTTGCTTTCTCTCCAGATGGAAAATATTTGGTTACAGGAGAGGTAAGTGTGAGGGAAGAGAGGGCACACCTTGTCCATTGCATTTTGAAGCAGGGTCAAAAAGGTTAGAAGAAACAAGCGGGTGAGCTCCTTGACACAAACAAATCTGTTTCAGTGTTGAATCACTGTTTAGTGGACCTGCTGGGTTACAGGTGGCACTGAGTGCCCCTGCTGGCACTTTTTCAGCATGAAGTCTCCTGTCAGCTTGGGGGATGGATCTTCTGGGGTGACTTCTGTAGGCTGAAGGTAGAGTGGAAAGGACACGTAGCAAGGCTCTACTCTAGCATCAATGAAGAGTACTTGGACGGTGCTGAATCTTGGTCTGAGTTTAGCATTGTCCCTTTAGGATTTCAGGAAGTAACTGAAGCCAGTAACAGTGTTGTGGAAAAAATTAAAAGTGCATGTGGAGTGGAGCTTTAGGAATAGTCACATAGGATGATGGTGCCTGTGGTTTGGCACTGTATATTTGGCTGGAGGCAACGATTGCTTCCTCTTTCCGAACATGCCCAAGGGGGAGAATAAGGATCAGTGCACTGTGTTTGTGTCTTGCATTAGAAATTGAAGACACAGGCTGTGTCATGAGGCTGGAATTGCTGGATGTTAGACATCCACAGAAATGCTGACCTCCATTGGCTGGGTTCAATTTGCTTGTGTGTGATTGATGGCAATTTACCACTAGGCTCTGTGCCTCTGTAAGACGTGGGAAGAGAGCATGTGTGAAACAGGTCCCCTTCTGAGCCTCAGCCACTGAGAAGACAAGTGTGTCACAGCCTTGTGTTGGAGCTGTCAGGGTGGAGACTGTACACTCCGGAGGTCCCTAGTGCGGTCACCGTGATGGCAGATGTTATGTCACTGGGTGTCTCCAAAGCTGGGCCTGAATCCTGCATGGATCAGACCAACAGTATCAAAAAAAATGGAGTTTTTTTTGGATGGAGGCTACCATGTCACAGAAAATGTAAGCAGAAATTTTCCATCATTAGGTCAGAGACTGTTGTTGTTATTACCTTGTTAGTGAAAACATGAGATTTTATAGCTGTAATGTTTTAATGCTCCATACGCACTAGAAATCTTAATGTAATA